GGTTGAAAACAAGGAAGCATGAAACCCTTTAACATATCCTTTGACAAATTCTATGTATCAAATTTCATTTGGTATCAAATTTCATGATTGTCATTTTGGATACACAAGTGATCTTCCTTGCAAAACTAACCCATGTAGGTAAATGAACTCAACTCCAAGTGGTGCTCCCAACCATTCTTGCGCTACATCAACTTTGAGCATCCCACGCAAGTTCAACTACATGATCAAGATCAACACCGCCACCCAAGGTATGTCATTCCATATTAGAGAAGCTTTACCTCAAGTCATAGGTCAAAGCAACTCAACAAGATGTGAATACATCAAATGCTTAAACGAAAAATGGTAGCCCCATTTTGAGTTTAAACGATTAGTATGACTTACGATCAAGTGTTCTCACCTGACTCCTTAGTCAATATACCCCAATTCCAGATGAAGTTCTCTAGTGTTTCCTTGAGTTTTTGCATACTTCATCTAGATTTTCTTTTCTTTGTTGTAGTCCTGCATTTCCCTGAATCCAATTCCTTGAAAATCTTTCAGTTAATTCCTTGCAAATCTTTGTGAAATCTTATTTGCCTAAGTGAGCTGAGGTGACAAGTGTTCTCTCTGTGTTGAACTCGGTCATACCGATCTGTTGGCTTTCGGTCACACCGAACCAACTCGGTGCCACCGAAGACTACAACTCGGTATCACCGATTTCACCGCAGAGAAGACAATTTGCCATTTGTTCTTATAGTTTTATTCCAGCTCCACTTGACGATTCTTGTCCTCTACCAGCATCACAATCTATATGCTTCTTTGCTCTGTGACTCAAGGACCAAACCTATTTGACTCACACTCCATAAGGCCCCTTCTTGGAAATTGATGTCAAAGGGGGAGAGAGATCACATCAAAGCTTATTCTCTTCAAAGGGGGGAGAAAAAGAAATAGGGGAAGAAAGAGAAAAAGGGAGAGAGAGAGGTAATCACATCAAATGCCCCAGATGCTTGGTATTCAAGAGGAGAGAAGTCACATGTCTTTAAGAGGGGAAATACATGTCTATTGCTCTGATTTTTGTTTCCCTATGTTCTCCCATTATCCAATACAAGATTCAGGGGGAGAAAGACTGCTAGGGAAGGAAATCTATGAATTCATTGCATATCTTTACCTTTTGGGGACATGTCTATATCAAATAGAGTATCCAGTGCTCACTCTCTACATGTCATCCCAATCTTGGTACTCTTGTGGTTTCTTTTGGTTGCTCTGGCTTGTAGATGTACCTGTGTTATCTAACCTTGGTTACTCAGGTTCATCTCCTTCTAAGCCAACTCAAGACCACAAAGGTAAGTATATGCATCACACTCATGTGCATGAGGATTTCTTGCTGTTGTACATACTGTTTGCAAGGACTCATGAGCATGAAGGTACATTTCCTATACTTACATCATTTGCTCTGATGCATATAGCCAAGATACATGTAACACATTGCTTACTCTGCCATGCTTATGCATTCACATGCTCTTATATTACATATTTACATGATTGCATACATATAGGGGGAGCCTATGCATGTTACATGTCTTTCCAAAGCTTTACTTGCTATTCTCTATATCTTTATCTAAAGCTTTGATGTATGTTGTCATCAATTACCAAAAAGGGGGAGATTGAAAGCACAAGTGCTCCCTGGGTGATTTTGGTAATTAATGTCAACATATCTCTTGTTGGACTAATGCTTTCATCTAGTATGCTTCAGAAAAGTTCAACAGTGAAGTGGCATGGACTAGAGGATGTGGGACCTCTTCAAGATGATGAAGACAAATGATTGGCTCAAGCTCAAAGCTCAGGACTCTACAATTTTCATTTTAGTGATCCAAGATCACATTGAGTCCATATGAAAGCCAATACTATTAAGAGGGGATGAGGTGTTCCTTAATGTCTTGCTTGTTCAAAGTGCTTAGTGATATGCTCCACAACCCTCAACCACTTTCTCACATCCACATATGTCCCAAACACAAAAGTCAAACTCAGGCCCACCGAAACTTTCTATCCGGCGCCACCGAGTTCTCTTGACATAGCCACTGCCAGAAAACCCTAATCAATTCGGTCTCACCGATGGGATCTCGGTCTCACCGAGATGGGCTTGCAAACTCTCTGTTGCCTATTGCATTAATTTTGGTCTCACCGAAATATGAAATCGGTCCCACCGATTTTGCTTGGCCAACTCTCTATTTTGCTTATTACCCAAATAGGTCCCACCGAGTTTGTGTAATCGGTCCAACCGAGATAAGGCTTTACCCTAACCCTTGCACATCGGTCCCACCGAGTTGATCACATCGGTCCCACCGAAAATCCTAACGTTCACATTTTGAACTAAATCGGTCTGACCGAGTTATATGATTCGGTCCCACCGAGTTTGGTGATTTGTGTGTAACGGTTAGATTTTGTGTGAAGGCTATATATACCCCTCCGTCCACTCTTCATTCGGGAGAGAGCCATCAGAACATGCCTACACTTCCAACATACATTTTCTGAGAGAGAACCACCTACACTTGTGTTGAGGTCAAGATATTCCAATCCAACCACATAAATCTTGATCTCTAGCCTTCCCCAAGTTGCTTTCCACTCAAATCATCTTTCTACCAAATCCAATCCTATGAGAGAGAGTTGAGTGTTGGGGAGACTATCATTTGAAGCACAAGAGCAAGGAGTTCATAATCAACACACCATCTATTACCTTTTGGAGAGTGGCGTCTCCTAAATTGGTTAGGTGTCACTTGGGAGCCTCCGTCAAGATTGTGGATTTGAACCAAGAAGTTTGTACAGGCAAGGAGATCTCCTACTTCGTGAAGATCTACCCTAGTGAGGCAAGTCCTTCGTGGTGATGGCCATGGTGGGATAGACAAGGTTGCTTCTTCGTGGACCCTTCGTGGGTGGAGTCCTCCGTGGACTCGCGCAACCGTTACCCTTCGTGGGTTGAAGTCTCCATCAGCGTGGATGTACGATCGCACCACCTATTGGAACCATGCCAAAAATCTTCGTGTCTCCAATTGCATTTGCACACTGCAATCCCATCCCTTTACATTCTTGCAACTTGCATGATTTACTTTCCGCTGCTCATATACTCTTGTCATGCTTGCTTGATATGTATTGTGAATGTTTAAACTTGTGCCAAAACTCCACTTCAACTTAAAGAAATTAAAAACTGCAACTTTTCTTGCTAAGAGTCTATTCACACCCCTCTATACACCTCTTCTCGATCCTTTCACACCACCTGGTGCCGCTAATGTAGGGGGACCACCTGTTGTCGACGCAGCCAAGATAGCAGAGGGTGTCGTCGTCACCGGTGAAGACAAGCCCGATTGCAGGATCATCAGGAAGTAGTTGATCGAGCCGGCGAGTTCATGATCTGCATGGAAGGCATGGAGATTAGGGGAGGGTCCTGTTTTGCAATTGCAACACGGGTTCTAGCAATTGCAACCGAATTCTTGTTGTAAAAAGCACCTCCACGGTTATGTCTGTCGCCATTGCAACAAGAGCCTTATTGCAAGGGACAGTGCCAACCTGTGTGTTGAGCGTGGTCTTGCAAGATTGTAACAACCATGTTTCATCTTTTAATCTTTCACTAATAATAAGGCACGAACTGCTTCTGTTCGTCCGTCATTGAAATTGCCCCCAAAACTGCCGTAAATTACCCACCATGCCACCCATAAATAAAGAAAACAATTCGATTTTTTTTCAAACTCGTCATCGTCGCTGTTGTTAGATGGTCATACCCTCATGTATCTCAAGGCACTCAAGTACCAGTGGCTAGAGCCTCCGTTTCTTTTTCCTCTCTTAACAACAAGGGCGCCTCCTCCACCCCCACACTTGTTCATGCGCCTGCCCACCATGCGGGGTGTGACGCCCCTTTTTTCTTTTCTTTTTTCTGTTTATGTTTTTCCTTCTTTAAATTAACTTGGGATTTCCAAAAATTACAAATTTCAAAAAGTTGCGGGTTTTGATTTTTTTTAAGAAATCAAAAAATGTTTGGACAATTTTAAAATGTACGGTATTTTAAATAAAATCTTTCATATTATAAGAAAAATCATGATTTCAAAAAAAATGCTCACGAAATAAAAATTACTCATGATTTTTTGTGTATTCAAAACATATTTTGGAATTTTAAAAAATGTTTCAAAATTCAAACAAATCCTTAAATAACAAACAAAATTAACCCGCTTACATAGAGGTTTTTTGGATCTATAGACATCATTTTATGATTTTATTTAGTACATCGTGCGTTTCCTAAAAAAACGTTTTTCGTGTTATGTTCAACGTTGAGCCCCCAAAATTGACACATCTTCCTATGTGTTAATTTTTGTAAGCAATATAAAAATGACTAATTGTCTAATTTGCCTCCATATACATCTATGATTATTCTTTTTTTTTGGTGGCAAACATCTATATTTATTCTGATATCACAGTTTTGTTGGTTATGATAAACATCACGATGTTAGGTCAAGTGTGATGGGACCATCACATTTTTAGCTTTTGAAATGACTTTCTAAAAGTTCCTTACCTCATTGTGACATGATTCAAACATAGTTTATTAAATCACATTTTAAAAGTCCTTATCTCGTTCTAGCGTATGCTTCAGACTTTTTTTTTATCTCTACGACATCTGTATAGTCTGATTGTTTTGTTTTCATTGTAACGAACGGGCATATTTCCTACACCATATTTTCTACTTACAACTCTATATTTTATCTTTACCTCTTTATCTTTATCTTTACCTACTAATAAAGCGCTGATTGCTTCTGGTCGTACGTCGTCAGCATTTTTGCAAAAACATTCTTGTAGTTTCTGATAATTAAACCCGCCGTCCCTACGTAAGTGGATCCAAGAAAACGTTTCGATTTTACAAATTAACCCCTACATTTTGTAATAATTCCGCCCGCACTCCTTTCTTCATCTTGCCCATAGGCTGGAAGGGCCCAACTCCGACCTGTCGTGCACGCTCACCGACTGCAGCCGCTGCGGCCGCCATGGCCGCCTTCGACGCGGCCGTCTCCGGCCTGGACACGGCGCCCGACCTCCGCCTCGCCGCGCACCAGTACGAGCAGCTCCTCCACTTGCTCGCCTCCGCGGACGCGCGCCGCGTTCCCCCGGCCGCCGCCGCGCGCCGCGTGTTCGCCCACATGCTGGAGGCCGGGGCGCCCCCGTCTGAGGCCACCATCACCTCGCTCGGCCGCGTCGTAGCCGCAGACACCGAGGGCGCGACGAGGCCTTCGGGCTCGTCTCCACCATGCGGCAGAAGTACGGCCTCGCGCCGCGCCTCCGGTCCTACAGCCCCGTGCTTGCCATGTTCCGGCGCGCCGGGGAGGCTGGAAAGGCCTACGCGGTTGAGGCCCACATGGCGGCCTCCGCTGTATCGCCGGAAGAGCCCGAGTTCGCCGCACTCCATGAGGTCAGCGCAACAGTTTGGGACGCAGACAAGGTGTATGAGTATATGCACAAGCTGCAGCGAGCTGTCGGCTGTGTGATAGAGGAGACCACCGAGGTCTTGGAGGGGCGGTTCCGGTGCGAGAAGGCGGCAACTGCTGGTAAGGCTGAGTGGGATGTGTGTCAGGTGAGGACGCCCTTGCGGCAAACGACGGTGGGTGCTATCAACTGGGGTGGCTTTGGACCAGACCATGGATGGTGCAGCGAGTGAGAGTTGGGGCAGATGGCGAGTGCGGTGGATGCAGATGCCGCCTAGGTTCTGTTGATATCGACAATGGAGGATACACAAAAGTTTGCTGACTCTATTGCTGGGCTGGCTCTTGAGAGGGAAACCAAAGCAAATTTCAGCCAATTTCAGGTTCATATATATCTATCCCTTAGGTTTGAGTCCCTAGCTAACTTGGAGCATTGCACGTTTTGTTAAATATAGTTAGTTTATTTAGTTTACTGGCAATTGTGATAAGCAGAGCCGATATGTGCTTGGTTTTATTTCGATTAGTAGCTGGCATGATGTGATTTACTAAGAGTTAATTTGGAAAAACTAGGCCTGGAGATAAACCCCATCACAGCAACCGCTTGTCGGCCAGCAGACGTGATGAGGGGCTCGTCGGCACACCCATGGCACCGCTGCGGAGCTATCTTCCTCTTCCTCGCATCGGCTCGAGGTGGGTGGAGGAGCTCGGCGCCCATGACCTCCACAACGGCTCCATCGACGCGCTCCACTGTCTTCTCGCCGGCGCGGGTCTCCGCCTGCCCCCGCACCCGGACGCCGTCGAGTTCGCTGCAAGGAGCAATGGCAAGCAGCAGCAGCGGTGGCAAGTAGAAGCAGTGGGCAGCAGCAGCAGAGGGCAGAAGCGGCAGGCAGAAACGGAGGGCTGCCGCCGTGTCGTGATTTGGATGGAAAATTGGAGACCGTGTCCTCCAACACAATCAATGGAGTGCCCGACCCGGATTTTACTTGCCTGCTATAAGAAGGAAGGGTTCTCGGTCGGATTCTCCGTCAGGTTGCCTCCTTGGACCATAATCTTCATCAAATCCCGTCGAAAATGTCATGAAACGTCCAATGTCGCCGCCGAGTTTGCTGGAGGAAGAAGCGCCGAGTTCGCCGGAGGAACAAAATCATCTGTTTAGCCGTCCAATGTCACCCGCGGCGGCTGCAACAGAGGTATGTATCCCCTTGAAAGCAGCAAGCAGCAGCCTTCTGTCCTTTGCGTTCTCTATATAGATGTGTAGTAGTGACCAAGAAACAGCATGAACAAAATCGCAGCAGCAGGCTGCTGCTCTCCTCCCTGATCTCCCTCTATATGAAATAGAAGTAGCGCATGAATGAAGAATGAATTTCTGAATTACAAACAACGTACATATTTTCTGAATCCAAACCAAAATCAAGTATATACCGTAGCTTGTTGTATTGTTGATCCAACCACATGCTCTGTTTCTGCATGCCATGGAAGCTTTACTTTCAAATCCTCTTTTTCTGCACGACAATTGAAAATAATGCAGGAGTCGGAGAATGAACGGAATTGCTTTGAACTTCACAGCACTAAATTCCTAAAGGCAAAACTTTTTAGTACTACAGGATATACCTTCAGAGATTATGACAGTTCTAATAAACATATCTTGTTTATTGGTTAGCTGAGTTAGAAGTAGAGCTATTAAAAAATATTTACTCTGATGAGTGCACAAAATCCTTATACTCCTAGCTCTATGATTATCCTATATCTACTTCTCACATTATACATATGCTCCACTACAAAGGGGTCTAAATAATAGCATGATTTTTTTTCACTTAAAGTTCTAAGCAACTTTACTGTGTGAATCTGAGAATCTCACTGAAACCTGTTTTTCATTGTGTATATTCAGCCTATCGAGTCGAGTTTCAGACTGATCATAAACAGACCTCAGTTTAAACTGTGATGCTGATTTGATTTGTGCTGCACCATCGTCCATATCTTCGATTTCAAGCAGTTCCATGGCAAATCAAATACATGTTTTCTTTGTTTATGACAGTACATGGTTCAGTCATCCACATATTCTAGAAACAGCAGATCAGATTTAACAACTATCTTAG